TTGTATATCTGGACTTATGTTTGTAACTTATTTCATTGATTTTATTCAAAATTCCTTATAATATTGTTTTTATACATTTCGGCGAAATCGTGTGTGAAGCGATCGGAAGATCGCACAACTCACCGTTATTAACAGCAACCATGGTCAGAATACCGCTATTGACGCCTTGAAACAAACTTTAGTTGACAGAGAATGGATACATATATCATAAATGACATACTTTGACTCGTTAAAAGTCATATTTGTTTTTGTTTGACGATTCTATGTCAACATGAAATTCTCGCGATCACGTGATCACGTGCGCGTGAGCCTTGACGGTGACTGGTCAGACATGTTCCATGTAAAAAATAATACCCGGGAATAGCGATCAGCTGCTTCTCTTAGGGTTATTATTATTTTAAATATGTTTAGTAAAGGTTGCATATAATTAAGAAAATAATGGAATATATTATTCCTGATAAATAAAATAGTTTCAGATACAACTGTTGCCGATCCTTGCATTAAAAAATCTTATAAAGTTATATCATTGGGTGTGTCTTGACCGAAATTACAGGTCGATTCCAAGAAAACGTGTGTAAAGCTGATTGCTGTTTCCAGCTTAGTTTACGAGAAAATACCCAAGGTAATCTTAATCCCTAAATTTAAAACAATGCCTAGCAGAACAATAAATACTATTTAAACGGTAAATAAACATGTCTGGTGATTTTTTATCTCAAATTTCAAATTTGTACTGACAAAGTTTCTCAGCACCCGTTCGTTTGCCGGACTTCGCTGAAAGGGTACGGTGTAAAAAATTTCTGCGCATAATATTCAAATTTCTTTTTTTCCAAAATATTGAACCCGCTAGAGGGGGGTGCGCATTATACATGGGTGCGCACTATACTCAAGAAAATACGGTATAAATATTGTTAATGGGACACTCATCTGCCACCTACTGTATGTGTCAAGCCTGTATTTCAGGTGAACAGTATTTACTTTGTGTGCTTGCGATTTGGTGCCTGACTCTGAGAGTGTGGGTTCGAATCCCGGATGTGACTCAACCCCCAAAAGTACTAGAATTTGTAAGTTACAAAGGAAGTGTTATCCCAAAAATAACATTTGTTACATCTGACCACTTTCTAAATGGCATTGTGTATTCACTGTATTGCAATATTTAGCAAGGCAGATCATCATCCCATCCTTACAGATTGATCATCTCATCTCCTAAAAAAATGAACAATGATGAATTACAAATGAAGGAAGCTTCAAAAAGTCATTTCCTCTACCAAACATACAAAAACCAACACCTAAAAATTAGGAATGGCTGATGCTAAGATAAATATAGATGTACAAGAAGCTTAAAAATGTTGTAGAAACCATCTCCAGGGTGTCTAAATGGTGCCTTTGTGATATATGCATCAAAATAAGCCTCTACTTTAAAGAGATATAAATCACATTAAAGAAGAAACAATGAACTGTTCAATATTAAAGATAATCATCCAAGTATGGAAATTACACAAAAATAAGCTAAGTAAAAACAGAATGTGTATGGAAGAAATCCTGTCATCCAGAAATACTCTTGAGATAGAATAATGATTGAGTGCTTGAACCTTTGTTGGATGTGTGCTCAACTGGTTTAGAAACATTCTGTGTACCAGGTTCTATTCTTTGGCCCGGTGCTGATGTAGCTATATGACATTGTCTGTAAATAATAGACTCTGAACCAAACAATCCAGGGATTGACATCATGAGCATAGATCCACCCAAATGGGATATAATGACATGCATCAACCAAGCCAGTGTGCCTTAACACCTGATCCCGTTAGTGGCCTCTTGCATGGGTTGCTGAAGATCAATTCTAACCTGGATTGTTACTGATTACTCAAGATAATTAGGTTCTAAAACATGAAGATATTTTTGGAGAGCACTTATGATAAATTATTATCCCAAAGAAAGTTTCATGCCGTCGTGTGTTTCTGACTTCTAGATGCCGATCAAAGACTTAACATGGCTCCTATTGACTTTACTTGAGAGGATCAAGTCAGGGATGAACTCTCTTTCTGGTCCCATTCTTTCACGACATCAACCTAAATTCGTTTTGTCATGCCAGGCGAATGAACGGCAACATGCTGGGCAGAATTCTCTGTCCCTTTTATCCCTGATTGAATACAATCCCAGAGAGATTTAGTATATATTGCATAGAAACAGAAAAGTTAATGACTCAATTCACCTTTTACACTAACAACATCATTAAGGACAACAGACTGCAGGAAACGACAGACATTGCGTGATCCTCTTTACTGCACTGGTCTTTGGACCAGTGGAGTTATTAGCTCACACAAAGAAAATTAATCAACATCATTCAACTTACTGGGAGCATGTTCATTCTGGGAAGAAGAAAAGCAAAAGTTCTGTCATCATGGTAACCATGCTTTCCAAAATAATTAGCAAACAGAACAGTTTCATGACTCACACATTTTTCTTTCCATAAGTCTGGTTCATTCCTTCTCTGAGTTTGAGAAACACACATCAGTTTCATAAATGGTGCATTTCTTCAATCAGTCTGTCAGTTGTCTCTCACTTAGTGTAGTGGCAGAGTAAAACTAACATTTTCCAAGAGAGTCATTCTACAGGCTCTGCTCACAGTGAGTGTATATTGTTTTATGCAGCTTTCAGCAGTATTCAAGCTATACCTCAGCAGCGGTAGAAACTAACAGTTTTTGTCTACTAGTCCTTATAATGATAACATATAGCAAAACCACTTAAAAAGGGCCAATTTCTACTAGTCCTTATGATACCTTAACTATTGGGCAGTTTGGCAAGGACTATAGGACTAGTGCCAATTTTTAACGTTGCCTCAGTGGCCTGTAAAAAATCTTGTTTGGGCCAGACAAACCAGTGACTGATAGAAAGAGCGATGCCCCAGACCTGACCAGTATGACATAAAATCAACCAAGTCATAGGTGACCATTCAAACCTCCCTTCTGTCAGCTCTGATGACAAACATGAGCTGCTTGGATCTGTTCTGACCAAGATCCCATTCCACAAGGTGATCTAAGCACTAACACGACTGTAACTACATACATCTTTGGACTTGAAATTCAAGCACTTTTTAAGCATTTTTCAAGGAAAACATTTTGTTCAAGGACTCTTTTCTCATTTAACAACCCCCAAATCCTGTAAATTTAATCCCAATAATGACTGACAGTTTTTCTGGTTACGACTGCTTCGTCTGTGTGACTTTGGCGCACTTTCCCTCATCGTACCAATATCGATTTCCTTCCTGCAGCAGTAACACAATGCCTTGTTTCTGTCTTTAGTTTCAAACATCAAAACAATTGTTGTTTCAAAAGCATGCACAACAGTATTCTCTGACATCAGACATTATTTCTGCGATGTCTGACAATGCAGGTTTCTTGGAAGGAACAAGGAGTAATTGTTCTATTCCTTTGGAAATTAACTTTTCAGTCAATGCAGATCTCTCAGTGACAGGAAATGAATGCATATGGAAAGTTGTTAATTTAAAAAAAAATATTGAACCAATTCATGAACAAGTTCATTAACATACTCACTCAATATATGATGACATGCATCAACCAAGTCAATGTGCCTGACCACCTGATCCTGTTAGTCGCCTTTTACGGCAAGCATGGGTTGCTGAAGATGTATTCTGACCCGGATCTTCACGGGTAAGTGACTTTAAGTGACACCATTTCCAGACCTTGTGGTATTAGAGGAGATGTCAATATATTGACATTAGAAGGACAACACATCATGCTGATTTCTTCTGCCAGCCCACTGAGATACCATGCCAGAGTTTAACATGGACACCCCACACAGACACAGTATGCTGACTCTGAGTGGCAAGACCTTGTTTTAGCCCCTTATTGCCGAGCGCCAGGCAGGGAAACAACAAGTACAATCTTTTAATGTCTTTTGGTATGACGCAGCTGGGGATTGAACCAGTGACCTCCCGGTCCACAGGCAAATGCTCTATCCACTAGACCATGGAGGCAGTTTCTGCTTCACTAAACTTCATATCATCTGAACATCTTGATGAATATTTCACATAATTAAAAGCTGTTGCAACATTGTCTCCAATAAATGATACCATAGATACACTGAGATAGACAGATATACATAATCATCTTCAGAATACATTATGATATTCTGTTCAAGTCGTTAGAATGAAAAGTGATTGAATATACATATTCACTACAGTCAGCATTATTTCGACAAAATGACAGTAGCCTATAAATATTGAAGCCTGGGTCAGACAAACCTGTGATTGATATCATAGTTAAAGACTGGGTGGTGTGATCGATTCCAATTGTCTGTCGGTTGACAAGTGCTGTCTATTGATCTTGCAATCTAAGATACCATTCAATCTGAATTTGTCTACACATAACCAGATTTCTTTGTGCAAAGGACATTTTGACCTAACAATATACACATGATGAAAGAAAAGCTTCCAGAGACACTGACAAGTGGGGTGTGATGAGCACTATGCTGGAAACTATGAATGCTAGAGACCTCGTGACTATCTGATCTACATGGCAGTCATACACATAAGACTGGAGGGCCTTATAAACAGCTCTGAAACCTAGGAAAATACATAACATTAACATTTATGAACTATGTCTTCAAAAAAACATGCAAACGGGTGACAAAATAGTACAATCACTGATCTACTTAAAACATTTTTTTTTATGAGTTATCACAAGACTTTTTTAATCTTTTTAGTCAAACTCACATTTCAGATAAATCTTTCTGAAATCACTTGGAACCATGGAGGAACATCAATGTCCAAGTGACTGACTTGTTTACAAATCATGGCCACCAGACATAAATCAAAAGAGATCCGCCTTGAATATCAAACAAGAACTTTCACTTACAGATTTCTCTAGCCCTAATAAAACAGTTTGTATCAGAATAAATACTCTTCTTAAAAACTAACTGTCACTGAAAAACCAAATCCTTATTTATATGCAATGTTAACTAGGTTGTGTGGAATATCTTACCGATTGTATCTCTTAAGTTTCTGCAGCGAGTACTTGGCCTCCGTCCCACCCTTGGACACGGGCAGACTCTCCAGGTTGGCCATCAGCAGGTTGATGGAGGACTTGAGCTCATCAATGTACATGCTCTCCATCTCCTTCACCAGGAACTTCGGGTGACGGCGGGTCTGGGTGAGAGAATCATACAATATCAGTTAGTTCTCTAATAACAAATGTTGGCGGGTCTGGTGAATATCAAGGGTCATACAACATTAGTCTGCTCTCCTACAACAAATGGTGACGGGTTGGGAGAATATCGAGGGTTATTCAACATTAGTCTGCTCTCCTACAACAAATGGTGACGGGTTGGGAGTATATCGAGGGTTATTCAACATTAGTCTGCTCTCCTACAACAAATGGTGACGGGTTGGGGAATATAGAGGGTAATTCAACATTAGTCTGCTCACCTACAACAAATGGTGACGGGTCAGGAGAATATCAAGGGTTATACAACATTAGTCTGCTCTCCTACAACAAATGTCGACGGGTTGGGAGAATATCGAGGGTTATTCAACATTAGTCTGCTCTCCTACAACAAATGTTGACGGGTTAGGAGAATATCGAGGGTTATTCAACATTAGTCTGCTCTCCTACAACAAATGGTGACGGGTTGGGGAATATAGAGGGTAATTCAACATTAGTCTGCTCACCTACAACAAATGGTGACGGGTCGGGAGAATATCAAGGGTTATACAACATTAGTCTGCTCTCCTACACCAAATGGTGACGGGTTGGGAGTATATCGAGGGTTATTCAACATTAGTCTGCTCTCCTACAACAAATGGTGACGGGTTGGGGAATATAGAGGGTAATTCAACATTAGTCTGCTCACCTACAACAAATGGTGACGGGTTGGGGAATATAGAGGGTAATTCAACATTAGTCTGCTCACCTACAACAAATGGTGACGGGTCAGGAGAATATCAAGGGTTATACAACATTAGTCTGCTCTCCTACAACAAATGTCGACGGGTTGGGAGAATATCGAGGGTTATTCAACATTAGTCTGCTCTCCTACAACAAATGTTGACGGGTTAGGAGAATATCGAGGGTTATTCAACATTAGTCTGCTCTCCTACAACAAATGGTGACGGGTTGGGGAATATAGAGGGTAATTCAACATTAGTCTGCTCACCTACAACAAATGGTGACGGGTCGGGAGAATATCAAGGGTTATACAACATTAGTCTGCTCTCCTACACCAAATGGTGACGGGTTGGGAGTATATCGAGGGTTATTCAACATTAGTCTGCTCTCCTACAACAAATGGTGACGGGTTGGGGAATATAGAGGGTAATTCAACATTAGTCTGCTCACCTACAACAAATGGTGATGGGTCAGGAGAATATCAAGGGTTATACAACATTAGTCTGCTCTCCTACAACAAATGTTGGCGGGTCAGGAGAATATCGAGGGTTATTTAACATTAGTCTGCTCTCCTACAACAAATATTGACGGGTCAGGAGAATATAAAGGGTTATTCAACATTAGTCTGCTCTTCTACAACAAATGTTGGCAGGTCAGGAGATTATCAAGGGTTATTCAACATTAGTCTGCTCTTCTACAACAGATGTCGGCGGGTCAGGAGAATAATAAGAGTTACACATTAACTCTTTCAACACCGCAGGACGGTTATCCGGCCAAGAAGCATCGAGTCCCCAGACACCGTAGGCCGGTTATCCGGCCAAGCCGTAGTCACTTCAAAACAGTATATATTTTTATGGACCTACCTGTGATATCATTCATTTATTAAATCTATCACATTTCACAATGTCTGAAATACGTATTCCATTTCAATTTATCATTTTTATTAAATTAAAAAGTTATTCACTATTTCCCGCGATGTTATTGAAAATAAAATTCTCGGACACACAAGTTATTATAAGTTATTATATAAGTTATTATTTCCATCTTTTCGTGTGATCACGTGTAATGTAAGTCAAATGACATCTCGGCTTTCGTCGCCTTGAATTCTCGGCTCGGACACGATGTTTAATGCAAAAATATATGCATGAAAAATCTTTGTCACAGCTCGTAACCTAGCACGATACATTCATGAAGTTCAATATTTTTAATATATATCGTGATTTCTTGCTTAAAACGTTCAGAATAACACGATTTAACAAAAATCTTTCGCCAACTTGTGAAATTTATCAAACACGAGCGTGGTATCACAGCTGTAATTTGATTGGCTGCCTTAGGTCACGTGCTCAAAATAGACCAATCACGAAACTTGTTGCAGATTTCAGCAAGAAAGCGTCATTAGAAACCAATGAAATCGCTTGTTATAACTACGAAAAAAAAACAGGCGATGTTACGAGCATGTAGATGAAGGAAAAAGCTTTCCAGCGATGTGTCATATGCCATTCTTCGACGAACGTGCTTTTCATACAAAGCCTTGAAAACGGGGGTACTTCTTCATGTTACTGAGCGGACAGCCGCTGTTATCGGGAAATGGGTGATGATATAGATACTGTTTATAATTCTTTTTAAAATGATTTTCAATCACGAAACAATGAAAATAAAACATAAATAGGTAAGTGGATTTTATGAAATCTTATATTTGCCGAAAATAGTCAAGTTTTCGCTTCCTTGGTCCCTAATCTGGACGTTAACAACGTGTTAGCTTACACTTTTTATTTACAACAAACTTAAATCAGTTGTAAATGCATTATTTTAAATAATGTGAAAAACATAACTTTCATATTTATAAACCATAGGATCAGACCTTTCAAATGGTGTATAACATGTAGTAGCAAATATATTTTACAAGCAGATATTTTCTTTGATAAATGTTGGCTTCATCTATCACACAAGAGTCTCTGGGAACTCGGTGTCCCAGCAGTAAACACTTCTGGTTGAATGGTGTTGAAAGAGTTAACTGCAAACACAACCAGTTGCACTGAAAATACAGAAGTTTACCTGCAATCACTTATTAGTGAGTGAATGAGTGAGTATGGTTTTACGCCGCTTTTAGCAATATTCCAGCAATATCACGGCAGGGGACACCAGAAAAGGGCTTTACACATTGTACCCATGTCGGGAATAATCACTTATTAATAATTATTTAAAGGGCAAGTACAGTTGTTTTTGTTTGTTGTTTAACACTGCACTCAGCAATATTCCAGCTTTTTGATAGCGGTCTGTAAATAATCGAGTCTGGACCAGACAATCAAGTGATTGCCATCATGAACATCAATCCACACAATTGGGATACGATGACATGCATCAACCAAGTCAGGGAGTCTGACCACCCGATCCTGTTAGTCACCTCTTACGACAAGCATAGTCGCCTTCTAAGGCAAGCATGGGTTGCTGAAGATCTATACTAACCCTGATCTTCACGGGTGCAAGTAAAGTGAAAAACATAATTGCGTTTTGCGAATGTGTTTGGTCATGTGTTGAAATTCACTTCTGAAATCAAGCCCAAAGCCAGATTGTATCAACATGAAGCGACCTCTGACCTCTAATCAAAAATATTTATTCTTATTCATCAAAAGTGTTCTCAACATAATCATGGAACATCACATTTCACATATCTGATTTCATCAATTTCCCCCACTATACCCTGTCGGCAACATTTCCCTGTTTGAGGTAAATATTAATTCACCTAAGAAAAATTCATCAATAACTTCAGGGGAACAGATGAAACCCTAAAACATCTTCAGTCGAGGAAATAACAGAACCATATCAATTTCAGAATATTTTTGCAATCCATCTAAAGTGTTATCAGCATCCACGATCAGTTTAGGGAATGCAACTTCAAGCGTGATGAGATTGTGTTTTTTTGGGGTAGATAAAAATGTAATGATGTGGAAAGAGTCCAAGAGACTTGGCTCACCCAATCGTCCACAGTGTTTGAGCACAGATTTGGCAGTGTGCCTACTCTCAATTGATAACTGCCGAAAAAATCAGACACTGAAAACAAACTTTTTGAAGCCTGAACCAGTCATGCCATCCATCAATATTATTCATAAAAAGTCTGAGTTTGTTCAATTTGCTAAGATTCAAGCATAAAATACTGTGGTAGGATATTTTGAGATGGGAGTGTGGCTCCAAGTATCCATAACCATCGATCAGTCACAGCATCATCAAACTGTCTTCCCCATAACTTTCCACTGAACTTTTTTCACCAAAACAAAGATTTGTAATGTTCATGATTAGTCAGGGAATGAAATGCTTTGCATGATCAGAAAATCAACAGCCCTGTGCCCATGCAGCTCCACTGGCTCCAGGGTACTTAGAATATCAACTCAAATTCAAATGATTTGAGTCGCCTCTTATGACAAGCATAGTCACTTTTTACGGCAAGCATGGGTTTGCTGAAGACCTATTCTACCCCGGATCTTCATGGGTCAAAAGACATGGTTGATGGCATCATTCCTCTTACTGGATATAGAGAGTGAAGAAGTAATTTTGCTTTCAGCCGCAACAGAGGCAAGGTTGGCCAAGTCGTCAGGTACTGCAATTTGCTGTACAGAATTGCATTCCTTGGGCATGTTTCTAGGTTTGTCAGTATATACATGCTTGTGGATTACACCAAGGTGTCAAAAGTCTAAGACATGCATAACTTAGGGCTTTTCCCCCAATATTAAGCTGACATGCAGTGATATAACTGGAGTACTGTTCAAAGCTGCGTTAAACCCAACTGACTCACTCATTTAAGCCACATCAGCAGTATTGTAACTATTCACAGCTAGTACATAGAAAGAGGATGCCATTATCCTCTGTCATATCCAGTGTTCAAAATTCAGTTCGGTCCTGGGATCATTGAGGTCTTCTGTGGTACTTGAATTAACTTTCGAAAACTGCACATGTGCCTGGTGTTTTCATTGGTTGAGTAAATGAGTTTTATTGTTGCCACAGTCAGCAATATTCATACCATAACTATAGCCGCCAGAATGTAATCAAGTCTGGGCCAGGCAAACCAGTGACTTACAGCTGGACCACCCAAATCCATATTCTATTTTAGTTAATCTCACAACATGCATGAGGTGAGGTGAGGTGAAATGGGGTTTAACGTGCATGTGTGCGTGTGTGTGCGTGTGCGCGGGCATGTGTGCGTGCGTGCACTTATCCGGACTCATGCCGATTTATAGTGCTAGCACACTGAGATACCATGCTGCAGCTTAACATGAATACCCCACTCAGACACAGTCTACTGACTCCGAGCCGACCAGTCCTTGTTTTAGCCCCCTAATGCCGAGCACCAGACAGAGTAACAACAAGTACCATCTTTTGATATGACGCTCTCCAGGCAGACGATCAACCAGTAGACCACGGAGGCGGTCGACAAGCACGAGGTAATGGGAACTGGCATGTAAAGTGTAAACAAACATTGGCTCAAGTTTGGATGACAAATGGAGTATTTGATAACATACATCAGGTGTCCGTAAACCTTTATAATATTCTTCAACAATCCAGAGACCAAAAAGTCACTGCATGGGTACCACTGCTCTTATCTAACTTGTCCGCAGTTCATTTAGCACGAGTAGCTTATGTAACAAAACTAGATCATGGGAGAAAACAACTACTTCAGTGTTAGAAATTGGCACTAGTCCTGTAGTCGTTGCCAAACTGCCCAATAGTTAAGGTATCATAAGGACTAGTAGAAATTTAACATTTTTGAGGGTTTTGCTATGTTATCATTATGAATACTAGTGGACTAAATGTTACTTTCTACCTCTGCTACTTCCTCTAAATTTTCGCAAGTTGTGGAATTAATATTTTATTGATCAGCGCATGAAACCTGAGCTATTAGAATAAATAAATAAGAACAATATGAAAACCATATTTGAGTTAAGTTGAATCGTACTCAGTAATCGTATCCAACATTCCCACCTCGGATACACATCCTAAATCTCAGCCACATTATGGTAATTATAAAAGATATTGCTGGGATTAAGCTTGAAGCAACATTTGATTTTCAAACAAATCAAAATCTACTTGTGCTAGTCATCTGACCCATGAAGTAGATTTTCTTTTTTTTGGTGTGATTTCATAGAAAATCAAAGGTGTGTGCCTGGTGGCAATACTGAATTTCTGATTTTTATTTCTTGAACAAACTTGAACGCCTTATGATCTGGAACACTAACACCAAATTTAGCTTAATCCAATTAGCAGTGCTTGAGAAGAAGTTAAGAATGCAAAAAGATTACATACACAAATGTCAACAGGTACCTGAAACTTCCGATTCTTTTATCTGGGTAGGAAGATGTTTCAAAATGATGTGTGTTACTTTTCAAAAGTAGAATAGTGGTAACAGTAAATATTTATTTCCTTCATAACCAAGAAATATGCATTCAAATTTAAGGAAGACATTTTCCACTTAGTAATGTAATGTAGTTGTACAGTACAACAATGAGAGAGAGAGAGAAAGAGAGAGAGAGAGAGAGAGAGAGAGAGAGAGAGAGAGAGAGAGAGAGAGAGAAACGTACCCGGGCCTTTGGGATGGCAAACAAATGCTTTAACCACCCACTAGGCTACCCAACTGCCCCTGTTACAAATCAAAACCCTTCTTAAACGCATTGAGTATTTGTAGCCAACCAAAAGCATAAACTTCATAGCACAAAAATCCAACATGACTGATCACATTACATGTTGATGTTTGGAAAGACAAATCAGAGGTTTAGATCAAAAGTCATGGACTCATCAAACACAGATTTATCTTGCTACAAATCATGTAATAGGACCAATGGCATGTCAGCTTTAAATCCCAAAACGGCTTCCCCACACATCATCCAGTTTCTCATTGTTGTGTAAATGCATGGATCTTGTGAGTTATGTCCAAAGTCATTGAAACTGCGGTCGACTTACAAATTGGAAAAGAGAACTAAAAGATAACCAATGCCTAAGGAACTCACCTCAAATGAATATGCAAACATTTGAGTAAACACAGACAATCATAAATGCCAGGGTTGGGTTTAATCCAATTTGGTTCCTATATATCATCTAGAAAAGCCGAACTTGAGTGCTTGTTAATGATGCTTGAAACTTATCATTCACGCAAAGTGTCAGCTTACATTCCTTCCGAGGAGGAGATCTCAGATTTCTAGGCCCTCGGAAAAGATTTGTAGATGGTTGTTATTAATTAGATTTTTTAAAACTTTAAACCAAAATATCTGAAATCTTCTATTTTGATGTCTTGAGGAGATTTGAGCACCCTTAGGATCAAAAACATCTCCATAAATTTCAGCTCAATCCATCCAACAGCTCAGGAAAAGAAATCTCCAAGATCTTCTACAATGGTTGAAGTACTTCAAGTAGTTTGCACATACACTAAACAAATATATACCTACTCATGCTCAAGTAATATTTTTAAAGCTTCATTTGTGCATAACAACAATAAATAATTTTTTTGAAATTCTTAACATATAATATTATGCTCATTTGTGAGGAGCAAGCAACTATTTTAATTTAATAGCTTGATGAGTGAGTGAGTGAGTTGGGTTTAACGCCACTTTTAACAGTATTACAGTTATATCGTGGCATGTCAGCTTAATGTGGGAGGAAAGCCCTAAGTGATGCAGGTCTCAGACGTTTACCACTTCGGTGAAACCCATGAGCACGGGTATGGTGCTGACAAACCTAGAAACATAATTGGGGCGAACCGGGATTTGAACCCACAATCATAGGTTTCTGGCGTGCCCAAGGGACGCAACTCTGCACAGCGAATCGCTGCGCCTTAGACGACTGGGCCACCCGTGCCCCCAATAGCTTGATGAAAAGTGTCCCCTTATGGCCAGGAACACATTCAAAACAAAACTATCTGGCTTGCAACTACATAAGCTCATGTGGAGACATAAACTAAAATCGTGACATAAGCTCATGAGGCGCCATTCACAAAAACGGTCTCATTGAAACGCGTATCGAGCGGACATGACAAACATAAGATACATATTCAGAGCCCATTTTTATTTTTAAACATTCAGAGCCCATTTTAATTTTTAAACAAAGTTCAAAAAGAAGGAGTTACCCGCGCCATCATCTCCACCATCTGAAGCCGCCCGTCCAACTCTCGCCGCACCTGAGCTGCCTGCTCATCAGCATTGTCCAGCTGAAACACACAACATGCACAGGTAAAGAAACTATTTCAGGGTGACATGTACACAACTCATACCGACTATGACTAAGCCACTAACCTGCAATGTGTTAAAATTAATGTGAGTGAGTTGGGTTTAACGCCCCTTTTAACAGTATTACAGTTATATCACGGCGTGTCAGCTTAATGTGGGAGGAAGTGATGCAGGTCTCAGACGTTTACCACTTCGGTGAAACCCATGAGCGGGTATGGTGCTGACAAACCTAGAAACATAATTGGGGAGAACCGGGATTCGAACCCACAATCATAGGTTTCTGGCGTGCCCAAGAGACGCAACTCTGCACAGCGCATCGCGGTGCCTTAGACGACTGGGCCACCCGTGCCCCCTGTTAAAATTAAGGGAGCGCCTTGGGTCCTTGCGGTTTGCTCCTACAGTAATGAGGGGTGTAGGGGTAGCCTAGTGATTAAAGTATTTGCTCATCACTCTGAAGGCCAGGGTACGATTCCCCTCATGGGTAGCAGTGAGAAGCCCATTTCTGTTGTCCCCCGCCTTATTATTGCTGGAATATAGTTAAATGTGCTGTAAAACTATACTCACTCACCCCAAAGTAATCAATCCAGGGAGACACTAAATCTTCTGCACTTTTAACATGAGTGAGTGAGAGAATTGGGTTTAATGCCACTTTGAACATGTTTTCCAGTTATATCAAGGTATGTCAGCTTGATGATGGAGGAAAGCCTGAAATGATGCAGGCTTCAGATGTTTACCACTTTGGTGAAAGCCATGAGCACGGGAAAGTTCCCAACAAACCTAGAAACATAACTGGGGTGAACCAACAATCAAAAATCTTATGCTTGTCGTAAGAGGTGACTAAAGGGATCGGGTGGTCATGCTCGTGGACTTGGTTGATACATGTCATTGTATTCCAGTTGCGTGGATTGATGTTCATGATGGCAATCAGGCGACGGATGTCTGGTCCAGACTCGATTACTTACAGACCGCAATAGCTGGAATATTGCTGAGTGCGGCGTTAAACAACAAACAAACAAACAAATCAAAAGTTTCTGATGTGCCCAAGGGAAGTAACTCTGCCACCCATTTTTAACATTAGGGTAATAAAGAAGGATACACTGACTTAAATGCTTAAGTTTGAACACTGGAGAGGTACAATTTGTGACTGTCTCATGATGTTTCTTACCAATGCAAAATATCAACAAAGTACTGTCCAGCACATTGAGACCTATGCTTCATTTGATTTCATTGAGTATAATGCAATGACAGCGTTTGTCATTCAATACTTTTAGCACCATAGACTAATATAAGGGTCTTAAGTAATAAAAGTAATGCATGACCCACTCAAATTAAAGTTACTTACATGACTGTGTCTAACTGTATTAATTTTTCATATCTCTGTGGTATAATTGCTTGATATATCCCTACACCATCACACATTCCAGTAGATATATTCATATCATATATAAATATACCCTATCTGTGACAGCCTATTTCATACTGGCTGCTAAATTATTGGACTCACTGAAATACTGCTGACAAAGCAAATTGCAGCAGACAAAACATTTAGACAATACTAAGTTAATGAAGCACCATATGTTTAAGGATATCTTAGCGTTTGAAATTGGCACTAGTCCTGTAGTCTTTGCCAAACTGCCCAATAGTCAAGGTATCATAAGGACAGGTAGAAATTTGCCATTTTTAAGGGGTTTGCTATATATCATCATTATAAGAACTAGATGACTAAAACGGTTAGTTTCTATTAAAGTTTGAAAAGCCTCTTCAAAGTTTCATGCTGAAAAGTACATAAACAGTTCCTATCTTATTCAGAAAGTTCGATTTTGTTATGCCAAAAAGAAGAAAGCTGACTGAGAATGATAAGTGTCCTGTCTGTATTTGCACATTGTAATTTATTGAAGAAAATATCTTCAAGGGCAGACACTATGACTACGTTCAACTGGTTTGTTTGAGACTAGTGTGACATAACTATATTCAGTGTACAAAACCATCTGTCAAACACTGAAAATCATAAACTGTGATTGTATTTCTCTTCTGATATTTTGATTTTGATTAATCTGACTGTTTTACGGGACCAGTGTCGTGATTGGAAAGTCGGAGGAAATCAGACCAATTGAAAGGTTGAAAAGCCATTAATAACTGTCTTATTCAGACTTGGGTTTTTTTCAGTCATGTTTTACCATATACACAGAATCATTCATCATAATAAACACACAAAGAATTCCAGGATCTGCCACCATATAGCACAAGAGATTAAAGGGTATGCCTGACTGATGTCCAAACGCCGGTGGTCAGTTACATGACTGCGAGGGACGCTTTTGTTAACCTTACGCACTTTATCAAATATCACAGATCTTTGAGAAAACAAGATGAAAGGGTGACCATCTGGTTGATTGGACAATGACATATCTGAGAGTCTCGATTCCCCCTGTCTGGCCAGGAGTCCATCCCACCTGCCTAGAGGAGACAAACACTGTTGTCTTGTGGCCACAATTATTGGTAAGGAAGATGTGGCAAGGATATGATATGTATAATATTGGGCTCCATGACTGCAGCTTCTTGACAGAGACCACAATCCTTTACTTAATCTCAACAACATCCACATAACATGAGATTTACCAGCATGGTATGTTCCATAAATTGAAGGTTTCTCGTCTGGTAGCAAGTCATTGTTTTTTAAGTTTCCCCAGGGATTTCAGAATGTACACTCTGTGGTTTTATTCTCTGTGTTATCACTATGTATATGTTAAGACTCTCCGAGTCTGACTGCACCCTTGTTCTCTTGGACAATTTTATTATGTTGGGGAGTTTTTAAATCAGTGACTTTTTATCCAGAATGGGTAGATAAAAAATATATAATATTTGTCTAAAATGCATGGCTTGGCAGCTGACTATCCATTCTGTTTCAGTTTAATATATTTGACTGCATGGAATAAAAATCCTATTCCTGAAATGACCTTTGGCACTATTGATTCAGATTCCCATAGAAGACAATAATCCTCCTCACAACAAAGATGAGATTTCACATGAATAACTTCAGATCATATGTGAAGTACAATATAAAGACTGTGACCTAGGCTACCAGTTGTAGGACTTCCATTTTGTGGAAGCCTCGGTGGCTCAGTTGGTTGTGTGCCGGCAATTAGGCACCTTAGAGCCTTAGCCTTACTCAATTAGAGTGTGGGTTCAAATCCTGGATGGGATTCCACCTAAAAAAGTATTAGAATTTGTACTTTACTAAGAAAGTGTAAACCCGAACATATGTTACACTGGACCATTTTCTAAAAGGCATGGTCATTTCATAGATTAGATTGCATGGATAAGAAATCATATTCTTGAAATGGTCATTGGCACTACTGATCCAGATGAATGTCAGGATCGTAGGTTCCCTTACAACAAAAATGAGTCTTCACTTAAATGCATTCCAATCAACAGAAACAGAATGACTTACAAAGTCAGAGCCACTGGTAAAAGTACATGCAACAGGTGCTTGGTTCGCCAATCCAGACTCCCTGTGTTCATTTCACACTTTGTTAACCTCCATCATGACACTTAAACCATAATTCATTGACTGAAAAGATGGTCAGAATGACAGCTGCTTTGTCAAATCAAATGTTAATGCCAGAGATAATTTCTTGTTACATCTGTGTTTTAATTGTAGATGTTGGCATTGTAGTGGTCTAACCTTTCCTCAAAGTCTGCTCATCACAAGGGTTGAACTGGCTTTTCAGACCAATGTTTAAATCTACTTGATCAAATTTGAAGATCTTAATTACCTGTCACTTCTTCAGTCTGACCCTAAAACTTCTGAGTCTACTAACCTGAACTTGGCTCTCAGCATCATTTTAAGTACATTTTAGTTTAATCATATGGTCAGTGAGTGAGTGAGTATGGTTCTACCCCGCTTTTAGCAATATTCCAGCAATATCACGGCAGGGGACACCAGAAAATGGGCTTCACACATTGTACCCATGTGGGGAATCGAACCCAGGTCTTCGACATGAGCAAAACTGCTCCTGTTATCATATGGACCTTTATTAGTTGAGCTTATATGATCGAACAGAATTTAACTAGACTTGGCCTTTGGACTAGTGGCTAAAATCACAGACTGCTTCCTACCAAACAATGACAGTGCATTTCATTGCCAACAAAACATGAAAGTCTTACTGTTGCACGAGTCCATTCTGCACTGAAGTGCCCATGTTATAGCATACAATGTATGCATTGATGTAATATTAAATGCTAACAGCTATCTAATCATTAATAAACACATGTGTCGCCATTATTGTAAATACTGTGTCTTGTAAAAACCCATACGGGTCATCAGGAAAGCCTGTTTGGATGTCATGACGACATAATGATTGATGTGACGTCCCCTGCTGTCGTGTCACAAACGACCCTATTTGTGTCAAAAACGTGCGAGTCTACTTGCCCAAACTTAGCTCTTAGCATCATTTAAGTACATTTAAGTACATTTCAGGGACAACATATGCTATATTATTAGCTGATCTTCCTATGATAAAATTTTACTTGACTCTGGCTTCAGATTAGTGGTTGGGACACAGACTGCGATTTCCACACAGACAGCCTGATGGCAATCATATGATACATCCAACCGTCACACACAAATATGTCACCAAAACATTTCTTTATAAATTGTGTTGTCCACATGATAAATTTGCTGCATGTGTCAATTTCGAAATGTTCATGATTTTACAGGCTGAACGTTTGTGAACACCCGTCATTGTGAAACAAGCCCAATGAGTTTGAAAAGCCCTGTACACAACTCTATAGACAGTAATTTGACACACGTCAAATAAGTGCAAGCAAACGGTATCTCCTCGTGACAGGAGATTCGCAATTGTGAAAAAAAGCAAATCACTTTTACCAGTTCATATGAGAAGGTGCACCATGTATTAAGGACTTAATCACTGAGAACATCTCCTTCTTTGATGTTCTGATTTGTTTAACCAAGGGTATGGAG